CATTTATGTATTTATCACTTTCTCTCTCTCTCTCTCTCTCTCTCTCTTCTGCTCTTGCTCTCCCTATCTCTCTCTCTCTCTCTCTTTCTATATACATATATACACATACATACATACATACATACATACATGTGTATATATATATGTATTCGGAAAACGATATACGTATACAAGTATATATGTGTGTATGTGTGTGTCTACACGTGCACGTGCACGTGCACGTGCATATATTATGACTACTTGATGTACGTGTGAAAGTGTGGGCCGCGCTCCCTCTCTCGTCCTCGTTATCTCTCCCTCTATCTCTCCCTCTCTATCTCTCTGTGCGATAGAACTATATATGAATGCATATATATATAGATATGTATCATGTCATGCGTTTCTCAAGTTGTCCAAACCTGTGTATGCTTCTGTAAGTAGACGTACATGTATACATGTGTGTAAAAATGTAGGCACTATACACCTACATGTTGGCAAACCGTGTATGTGTATATGTGTATATGTGTATCGCTATTGCCCGTTTCTCTCAGTACACACGTACATCTACAAATTCATGTATCAGCAATTACGTGTTAGTGCTGCCTCTCTATGATCTCTCTCTCTCTCTCTCTCCCTCCCCCCCTCCCTCCCCCGCTCTCTCGTTCTCTCTCTCTCTCTCTCTCGCTCTCTCTCTCTCTCTCTTTATTTCTCTCCCTGTCTCTCTCTCTCTCTATTTCTCTGTATCTAGCTATACGATACTGCATGTATTCGTATGAGCATATGTTTACACGAAGGCTGTAAATATATGTGTACTGCGTACAACACTATGTACGGACAGAAGCGGTTACATGACTGCATCTGGATACAAATATACTTAGCTCAGTCTAAACACGGTGCACGCGTGTGCATATATATATATATATATAGATGTGCATGTGTAACCCTGTACGTATATCTACATATCCCTCTCTCTCTCTCTCTCCTTCCGTGCCTCCCTTCAACGACATACATATTTACATACATATCTATATATACGACATAAAAACATGCATGTATATACATGTATGCAAGTATGTCATGTGCACACGTGTGTATACACGAGAATACTTTGTGTACGTATTTGCACATATCGGTAGAATTCCAGGTATCATTGTTTCTATCTCTCTCTTTCTCTTTCTCTATCTATCTCTGCCTCTTTCTTTGTCAAATATTTTAGTTGTTGGTATTGCTTGCACTCTCTCTCTCCCTCTCTCTCTCTCGGTCTCCCTCTCTTCTCTCTGTCTCTCTCTCTCTCTCTCTCTCTCTCTCTCTCTAACTATATATATGGAAATATACTACATGTGTAAAAAATCTAGAACCATCGCGCGCACTTCGCGCGCGCTCAAGTTCTAGCTACGCTCATGATCATCATCATCATCATTGTGATCCTCATCCCCGTCATATTCATCGTCATCGTCATGGCCATGGTCACCTACACCATGACCATCACAACAATCAGCATTGTCACCATTATCATCAGCATCGTGATCACCATCGCCATAATCGTCATCGTACTTTTCAGCATCATCATCCGCATCATCAACATTTTGTTGGTCGTCGTCGGCGTCGTCGTCGGCATAGTCGTCGTCGACATCATCAGCGTCATCGCCGTCATCATCCCCGGTCCACTGCAATCCCCTTCCCCTCCTCCTCCTCCCGTTATCCCTCTTCCCATCATCTTCTACTCATCCTTTTTCCTCGTCGGCGTCTCCCTGAAAAGGGATCCCTGTTCCTTCACCTCCTCCTCTTCCTCCTCCTCCTTCTCCTCCTCCTCCCTGTCTTCCCCGCTCTTCTGTGTGTCCCTCCTTGTGTTCCGTCACCTACTTCACCTCCTTCCTCCTCTCGAGCCCTCTTCATCCTGCGCTCCCCTTCCCTCCTCGTCCTCAGCATCCCTCCCCGATGAAACATAAGAAGCGAAAATCATAGAAATGTACGTTTTTCCATGGGGAATGCTATCTTTTTGCACCTGGGAGTCTTCTCGGCAGCCTCCTGGACCGTCTTCAGGGAGTCCTGGTAGGCCTTTCTTCGACCCTCTGGGAGCCCAGTTCGGGCGTTCCTGGTCCCTCTTCGCCCGCCATGGGTACCTGAGCCCGTCTTGGGGGCCCTCTGGAGCCCTCTCCGACCATGTAGGGATCCTCCGGTGGCCCCCTCGGGGTGCCTGGGTACTCTCTTGGGCCGTGTTGGGGCTCTCTTGTGCTGCTTGAAGTTCTCTCCAGGCCGTCTGGAGGCACTCTTGAGCCATCTAGACCTCTGGGGCCGTCACGGCCACTGGTAAACTGAAAAGCAAATATCAAAGAAATATACGTTTTCCCATAAACGCTTGATTTTTGCCGTTGGAGGGCCTTCACTGCGGCCTCTTGGACCGTCTTGAATGCCTTTTGTGGCCGTCTAGGAGCAGTATTGGGCTGTCTTCGAGCGCTCGTGGCCCGTCCAGAAGCCATCTCAGTGCGCTCTTCAGCCACCTTCCAGACAACCTGGGGCGCTTTGGGCGCCTCTTGGGCCAGCTTGGGAGCCTCTGGGGGGGTCCTGGGCCCCTTCTGAACCCTCTTAGAGCCCACCCGGCCCCCCCGCCCCCCCATTCGAACCAGAGACAGGAGTTCTGGGCCTTCCCCCAGCCTACTCCGATATCTATATATACACATATATATATATATACACACATACACACATACATACACACACATACATACATACATACATACATACATACATGCATGCATGCATGCATACATACATACATACATACATACATACATACCTACCTACATACATACATACATACATACATACATACATAAATACATACATAAATACAGACAGACAGACAGACAGACAGACATGCATACATGCATACATACATATATACACGCATACACACAAATACATGCATATACATATACATACACCTGCTCCTATACCTGTAGATAAATATAGACATACAAATACATGAACATACACATACACGCATGCTTATGCATATATATATATATATATATATATATATATATACATAGACATATGCATATACATATACAAATACATGTGCATGAACATTACATATATATATATATATATATATACATATACATATACACATACATATGCATATGCATACATACATACATATATGCATATACATGTACACACATATATAAATATATATATATAGAGAAGTACGTATACCTATATCTATACATATGCATATACTTATGCATATGCAGATACATATACATACACATACATGCATGTAAACATACATGCATGCATGCATGCATGCATGCACGCATACATGCATACATAGACACACGCATACAGGCATACATACATACATACATGCATACAGACATACATACATGCATACATACATGCATGCATGATTGCATGCATACATGCATACATACATACATGTATACATACATACACATACGCATATGCATATGAATATACATGAATGTATACATATACGTGTACATAAGCATATACATGTACATACGCATGTACATATACATATGCAGATACTAATACCTATACATACATACGAATGCATATGCGTACATACATACACACATGCATACAAATATAAACACATACATACACACATATATATATATATATATATATACATACATGCATACACACACATACATGTATACATGCTTATATATCTACACTGTTCTTCGTTATCCCTCTCTCCCGAATCACACTTCCCAAATCCCGGATCCTGGCTCCCGGCTCCCAACTCCCGCGGTTCTCAAATCCCGGCTTCCAGCTCCGGGTTCCCAATTCCCGGAATTGACAGAATTCCCGTTCCCGAAAAAACAGAATTCCTGGTTCCTGGATCTCCCAGCTCCCAGTTCCCAGTTCCCGGTTCCCGGTTCCCTTCGCTATTATACTCCATAGTGGAATGGAGGAGAGGAGGAGGACGAGGAGGAAGAGAGAGGAGGACAGGGAGGAGGAGGAGGAGGAGGAGGAGGAGAAGGTGGTGGAGGAGGAGTAGGAGAAGGAAGAGAAACAGGAGGCCTTCAGCACGGCCACCCTGCTTGCAGCGCAGCGCAGCGCCTGGCGGGCCCCGGCAGCCCCGGCCCGCCCGAGCGACGCGCCGAACTGACCGCTGAGGCCCCGGCGGCGCGGCCCTCACCGGGCTGAGCGGCCCAGGCTCGGCCGACCGGCGACGCGGCGACCCCAGCGGCGCGGGCGCAGCCAGCGACCGCGGGCAGCGCACCGCAGAGCTGGGCCGCGCGCTGGGCAGCTGACCGGGTGGCGGTCGCCCCTCCTCCTGCAGCGGCGGGCTGCGCTGGGGCTGGGCTGCGCTGGGCAGACGGCACTGGCCTGGCCGCGCATGCCAGGCGCGGCTGGCGAGCGGGCCGGCACGCCGGCTGGGCGGCGGGCGCCGCGCGGCTGACGATCCCAGGCAAAGGAGTCTACAGGCCCTGGCTGGTCGACAACTTCCCCCCTGGGAGCGACCGCTGTCTGAGGCAGCCGGCCACCCCAGGGGGTGCCAAGCCCTCTGGAATGGCTGGCGGAGGTGCCGACTGGCTCCTGACCATGGTGTTCTGGGCGGCGCGGGCGAACACGCGTCCGCCGCCAGGAGGAGGAGCAGGACGAGCAGGACGAGGAGGAGGAGGAGGAGGAAGCGGAGGGGAAGAGGAGGAGGAAATGGAGGAGGAGGAAGAGGAGGATAAGAGGAGGAGAAGGAGGACGACGAGGGGGAGGAGGAAAAGGAGGAGGAGGAGGAGGAGGAGGAGGAGGAGGAAGGATAAGATTGATGAGAACATGCTCCGAAAAGGCGGCTTCGGGCGCCAAGTGGCCAGCGCGAAAGAATTGGCACGAGGGCGGGCTCTCGCGCACGAGGGGGCGCCAACGGGGTGGACGCTGGTCCCCCGCAGGAGAGGCAGACAAGGATCTACGGCTGCGGGGTGGTCGACGACGACGACGACGACGACGACGACGACGACGACGACGACGACGACGACGATCGCGGCCTGCACGGGCAGAAAGGCCGAATGTACTCGTGCGCGCAGTCGGCCAGCGGGCAAAAGTGCTCGTCCGCCGCCCCGTTGGCGCAGGCGGCGTCCCCCGGCGACTCCGTGGGCCTCCTTCTGGGACGACGGCGGAGGGAGGAGGGGGAGAAGGAGGACGGAGCGGAGGGAAGGAAGACGGTACAGAAGTGCAACGTTAATCCTAAGGTCGTACGAGCGTGTCTTTGGCGACAGGCTTACCTTACTGCGACGCTCATCACAGCTCCAGGAGCATGAATGAAGCATGAACGGTGATTGAATGGAACAAGGATCTAATAATATGATAAAGTGATACAGACAAAAAAAAAAGATCAAAACAAAAAAAAAAAAAAAAAAAAAAAAAAAAAAAAAAAAAAAAAAAAAAAAAAAACAAAAAAAAAAAAAAAAAAACACAAATGAATGAGAATGGACTAAGGATGGGGTAAGGGTGGAGCAAGGATGGAGCTTGTACTTCATCATTACTCCGTGGTTGCATTGTTAACGCTCTTTTATCATTATATGCGTACTCTAATGCGACTCCATTCTAACTAAAGTCTTACTCCGTTTAGGTTCCATCATTGCTCCATGGTTGCTCCACTGTTGCTCCATTATTGCTCCACTATCACTCCACTACCCTGGGGTCTCATAGTCTCGTTTACATGCGCTGATGGCTTCGGCATGGCCACATGCGTCGACATGCGCATACGCGTTACAGCCGTGCGGTGCAAACTGGTTCCATGGAGTTGCATCGCCGTTACTTGTGCTTGTTCGGCAAGCATTGTTTCTTACTTGCGTTTCTTGAATAACTGGGTGGTTTTGCACGAGGTTTCGCCTCGTGTCCGCCCAGCGCCCTCCCGCGGGCGCCTCGTGGGCGCCCCATGCGGTGTGCGTGCCGAAGTTTCGTCTCGTGCCCGCCTCGCGGGCGCCTCGGTTGCGGTGGTGTTGCTGGACGGCGGTGGTGGTGGCGTGGTGGTGGCGATGGTGGTGGTGGTGGTGGTGGTGGTAGGTGGCGAGTGAGGCAGCAGCGGTGGCAGCAGCAGTGATTGCGGTGACTGCGGTGGCGGTGGTGACGCGTACCGGGCGTTTGGGGCTGGGCGTCGGCGGCGGCGGCGGCGGCGGCGGCGGTGGGCGGCGGCGGCGAACGAACGCGCGGACCACCGCACAAGCCGCGAGTGGGCCACGGCCCACGGGCAACCGAGCTCGTTCAGGCTGCGCCCCACATCGGCCACGTCTTTCCCCCCACCCACACCCCACCCACCCACCCCGCGACCCCAAATTTCACCGGCCCTTCGGCTTCGCGGCCCAATCCCCGTCTCGGGGCGACGGATTCCCGCGCGCGGCTTCGCGCTGACGGATGCGCTCGGGCGTTCGCGGCCCTTGGCCGCGGCATGGCGCCCCAGGGCGGTTCGCAGGATGCGATTCGATTACCCGTGGCCCCTGGGCCCAGCGCGGCCAGCACTCCCCTCGCAAGCTTCAAAAGCACCCAGAAGGCAACGTCGGACGCGGACCCCCCCCCCTTCCCGCCCTCGTCGACGCCGGCGGCGGTGAACCGAGCGTTAGCGGAATGGCTTTTCGCGGCGCGAAAACCCAAAAACGGAATTCTGCCGGGAGAGAGGGCGCGGACCTTCGCGGCCCCCACGCGCGGGTTTGTACCCAGTGGTGCAATCTGCACGCCCGCGGCCGTCAGCCCCGCCCCCCGCGCGGCCATCGGGCGCCCCCCCCCACTCTAGGCGCGGCCCGCGGGCGGCGGTCGGGCGAGGGCCGAGGAAAGGGAAACTCGCGCTGCCACTGACCGCTCAGGAGAAAGAAATGGCGGGGGGCGGGGAGAGGTTCTGCCTCAGGTCTGCTCAACGTTTCTCGACATTCACGCTGGCGCCGCCCCCAGGGGCGCATATCTTGCCCCGCACCCCCGCGGGCATCCTCATCCTCTTCCTTCTCCGCCCCCCACCTCGCCCCACTCGCGTTCCGCTTCGCCCTCGCAAATTTGACCCATCAATTGCAGCCGACCGTTGCTCCGCGGCACCCCTCGAGCCCGCCGAGCCGCGCGTTCATCGTAAGGGGGGGGGCCCTCGTAAACAAGGGCGCAGCGAGCGCCGGCCGAACCACGCTCCAACCACGCACTCAGCGTTTCATCGCGCCACGCGGCGCGAAGCGTTAGCCATTTTTACCTTGAATTCCACTGGCCGTGCGCACGACAACGCGCATCGTCGGTTCGGGGTTCACGCCAGGGGCCCTGACCACCGCAACGCCCCCTTGCAAAGCATCAGAAGCCCCCCACCCCCCACCCCCCCACCCCCCCCACAAAAAAAGAAAACCAAAAAGTCGCCGCGATGGCAGGCGAAAGAGATCCATGCGCAATCGAACTAACTCCAAACACCGCCCGCCCAGGCATTGGCATCGATCAGAGCCCAAAGTAGGGCGCCCAGGAAAGACCGCAACACTCCAAGCGACATGGCATGGAGCCAGTTAATGACGAACGAAGCTTCGGATGCCACCTCGATTGTCTGAGAAAACGGCGCCCGCCCTCTCTTGAATGCCTCCAAAATACTGCCTTGCGGGGGCAGCTCCGGTTGAAACCACTGCCTGCGCCGGACACATCCGCGCGGGGTTCCAGACGACCACCCCCCGTGAAATACGCAGCTCGGGTAGGTCTTGCAGCAAGCACCTCCCGAAAACCACATCTGCGCGACGATCGCATGACAAGTCTGCCAATATTTCTCTCCGCGCATGGCGATGCGATGGATCCACCAAGATTTTGCGTTCACCACATGCGCTGCAAGAATGCGCCCGCGCCTTGGCTGCACAAGGGAGATCGAACACACCGAGACATCACAACTCGCATGGCGATTCTTTTCTGCGCGCACACATCGGGCACGGGCGCGCGCGGCGGTTCCAAATGGGGAGCCCCAGGGGGTGGCCGGATTCAGCCCGATCGCCTTTTGCGAGAAGGATTGCGAAGATGACACCACATGGCTCGCCTGCTAGAGAGATTATGAGCTCATCGATTTGACCACCGCCACGGCGCGCGCGCGGGTGCTCGCCTTTCGCCCAGCGGGGAAGGCCCCACGCAATGGCTGTGAAGATAAGACACAACGAGCACCATGATCTATAGCCGCATCTGCAAGTTTCGCTTTTTCGAGAACTCATGAGCAGGCACCTTCTGCCAGTGAGGACGAAGCCCAACCTTACGCCGAGGATTGCTTCCTCGCGCGAAGTCCACAACATCTAAAAACAAAGACAGAGACAGCACTTGGTTCCCAGCTGGTGCTGACATCACCACGGGATGCGAGCAATGGCACAGCGGCAACTGGGAGTCGCGCGTCGCGGAACCCAGCTCGTTCTCATGCTTACGCAAAACGTCTACACGCGCATCCAATTGCACGTGAGCCGGTAGCGGGGCGATTTCCAAAATTGCCGCTTCGTCGAACAAGAGGGACATGGATGCAGCAATAGTTTTCGCCCAGAAAGGATTACACAAGGCCACGTCCAACCTAGCTGAACATATTCCACTGAAGTTGGGAAGGAGAGCGAGTACTTGCACGTCGCCTCCAGCGCCAGCTTTCCACTGCCAAGAACTCAATGCTGAGGCTCGATTGGCGCCGTTGACTTCTTTGTCCCAGATAAACCATGCATTCGAACAATGATGTCTGGGCCTCTGACAAGCTGATGTCATTGTAGTTGCCCTGCTCTCTGACAACGCCAACGGACCACCCCGTATCGGATCGCACGGCAGTCCCCCAATCCCTTTCGGGACGTTCCCAGGAGCGACGCACTGGAACGTGGAATCACAGGTGTTGAGCCAAAACGGCCGAAACAAGATGCGATGATGAGAGTGGGCCGCTGGATGCACGTGCTGCTACGAGTTGGCGGGGACCCCTCGCCCCGCGCTCCGGCGCGAGTGGCGCGCTGCTCCTCCACGCCCCCCTCATCCCCCCCCCCCCTCCACTGCGACTACCTCGCGCGGAAGCGGGCGGCCAGTCTGCCGAGCCAGCAAGTTCTGCTTCCCCAAAAATGCGCCCCGGCCGCGCCTATTCTCCACCCCAAAAACACAAGTTTCAGACTGCCGCCGTTTAAGCAAACAGTGGGGGTCTGAACGTGGCCACCACTTCATGCACCTACCAGGTGCCTCCCACGAGGCACCCCGGGAAGCCGAGAAAAACAAAACAAACCAACAAACAAAAAAACTGGCACGCCCGATGCCGGGGCGCAACACGCGGAGACCCCCTCACGAAGAGGGGGGGGGGAGATGTTCTCTAGATAAACAAGATGCCCAAGGACACCTGATCTCAGGGGACCCAAAAAAGAGCGCGCGCACAGAGCGGGCCCCCGGGCGGCCAGAGAGGGCCACCAAGCGCAGCGCGGTAGTCAACGAGCCCCCGCATGGGAAAGGGGCAACGCCGAGGATGGGGCTGAGCGACATAATGGGATCCTACGCGCTCCCATGGTTTCCACTGCCTGCTTCCAATTGGCGATCTCGGGCAGGGGCTCGATGGAGACACGGCCCCCATCAAGCGCCCCCCGCAAACCTCGATGTTGAAGTCAAACTTTGACCCCAGGGGGCCTGGACCTCAAACCTCAGCCGACGCCCAAAGCGACGAATAATGTTGCAACTCTATGTGCTCCATCCCACTAACCACTAACAAAAGTTCCGACGAGTTTCAAAGGGCTTCAACGACTTTCAACGAGTTTCAGTTTCGACTGCCGAGTTCCATATGTGCTGATGTATTATCAAACGTTGGGCTCCCACTCTGGATTTCAACGAGCCTCCGGGGCCAAATTTCTACGGGAAGTCAAACGAGCGCATGACTTAAGACGCACGTTCTGCGATTGTCCCGGCCTCCATCGCGCTCGAACTTGCCTCTGGACTCTCGACGCCTCCACGGTCCATACCTGAACCTCGCAAGTATGAGCGCATCGCGAGCTGACCACCACCCCGCTGCGAGCAGCGCCCGATCGGCCCGGCTGCGGAGCACTCACGCGCAACAGTGCAAGGTGCCTCAGCGGTTGACCTCGGCGTTCTGCACGCCGACCACCTCCTGGACCTTCTCCTCAAGAGGGTTCGAGAAACCCTTGATATCACCCTGCTTCGAGAAATCCATCAACAGCGCGTCGCCGTCAAAAATTTGACGGCGAAAGCCTGGAAGCTGCCCCAGGTCGCCCAATTGAGCGAGAACGGACTCTAAGTTACGAGGGAGTCGGCGGCGTCCTGAGCGGAGGAGACCTCGCCGATAACCTCGCGAGAACGAGCCCACGCCCACTCGCATGGCTTGCTGACGCAGACGATGAGGTTCCAAGCGCCCATCGTGCCGGACGCCCACCTCTTCTTGATCAGGGCAAGCTGGCCGCAGGCACATCGGCGCGACCTCGCCGCCAACTGCCCCCCCACCGCGCTCGAGCCCCTCCTTGGCCGCGGGCGCGTTCTCGGGCCCGCAGGCCAGGATCAATGGCTCCGCGGAGCGTGGATCCCAAGTCGACGGACAACCCGCTGCGGCGGTCTGGCCAGACGCACTCGCGCCTGGAGCGCCCGCTGCGGCCCTGGAAATACGCGCGGCATTTGCCGAAGACTCCGTGCACTCACCCTTGAAACCCTTCCTGATGCACAAAAAACTCCGCCCTCTCTGCGATCACTCCAACTCACCCACGGTCTGCCTCCGCAGGTCAACCCCCCAGAATGGAATTCGAGGCACTTGTCAACGCACATTTCAGTCGCTATGATGACAGCGCCGCCCCAGACCTCGTTCTTCCAGACCACCGTGATCGGCAAGTACACGTCGCCCACATTGTCAGCCCTGTTACTGGCATCGCTCATGCTCTACTCGTCGACATTCTTGTCGAGCGCCTGTCTCGCCCACTACGAGCGAAAGGCCCGCTGCTTCGCGCACTGCCCCCCCACGTCCACGTCGCGCTCCCCGAAGGCCTCGTCGTTCTTGCTGGCATCAATCCAGCAAAGGCCCACCTCGGTCGCCCGCAGGTCCAAGATGCCATCGCGCATCGTTTTCGAATGAGACATGACTTCAGCGTCGTCAGCGCACTCCTCCTCTGGCCAGCGAGCCTGAGCAACAACGGCACTGACGAAAGCGCTGTCCCTCGGGAAAGCCCGCTTCGCCCTGGTCTCGATGAACGAGGCGTTCTCTGCCGCCGACCACCCATCTCGCGGATCGCAGAATCTGGCGGATCGCAGGGCCTGGAGGATCGACAGAGGCCGAAGCCCTTGAATAGGGCGGCCACCGAAGGGGGGGGGACTTTCGCGACCACCCCCCCGCCCTGCGAAAACAGAACGCCGCCCCCCCCCCCCCCCCACCCCCACCAATCCTCGATGGAGCGCGTTCGCCAAAGCGGCAAAGCGAGGCGGTGAAAGGGGCGGTCGCGCCCCCCCCCTCAGAGAAACCAGGTCGGGCCGCAGTCCGGGAGGGGGGCTCGGGGCGAGCGGGGCAGAAAAATAAAAGCCGGGGACAGGTCGGAGGAGGGAAGCCGCATTCAGCGGCCCTCCCCCCCGACACCCATAGCACACCGACAGAGCACGAACGCGAGGGGAGACGGGGGGAATCCCCCCTACGAGGCGCGCCCTCTGAGCCAGCTTCGCGAACGCGCCTCGAAGTAAGAGGCAGTCTGCCCGCCCGCCTCAACCCTTGCCCACCTAGCCCCATCCTTGCCCTTAGCACCCACCTACACCCCTCCCCGTCCAGGAGACACCCGCGCCCTCGACCCCTGGAGCCCAGGCCGCGCGGCTGCGGCCGAGCGCCTTGGGGGGCGAGATCTCCCTGACCTCGCGCCGCCGCCGCCCCGAACGCGGCTAATCTGCCGGCCCCCTCCCGAACGCGGCCCATCTGCCGGCCCTCTCTGCGAGCGGAAGGTGGGAGAACAAAATTCCAGGGGCGAGACCCCCCCCCCCCGGGGGGGGCACGCGGTGCGTGCTTGACCCAAAATGACAACATCGAAGGTCACGCCCCCCCCCCTGCGCTCGACTCTGTCAGCCCCGCAAGCCCGCGCCCGACCCAACCCAAAGCCGGGACATGCGATAAAGACAGAACACGAACGCGAGGGGGGGCGGAGGGAACCCCCCCTACGAGGCGCGCCCTCTGAGCCAGCTTCGCGAACGCGCCTCGAAGTAAGAGGCAGTCTGCCCACCCGCCTCAACCCTTGCGCACCCGATCCCATCCTTGTCCTTAGCGCCCACCCACCCCCGTCCACACCCAGGAGGCACCCGCGCCCACGACCCCTGGAGCCCCAACCCCGGGCCCCCGAGCAGGAGGTGGCTACGTGCCCAGCCGCGCCCGCGCAGGCGTCGCGCGCAGGCTCGTAGCCAACCCCCACGCACGGTTGCCTGCGGCGAGCCACCAGGGCGCTGGCTCTGGGTCTGTCCCGGCAGAGGGGGGGGGGGGGGGGGCGACGACGACGGAGGGCGCCGGACGAGAGGGGGGTGCTTGAGACTGCCGAGGCAAGGGGGCGGCGCAGTCTCGCCAGAAAGCCAGAGGGGAGGCCAGCCCGGTCTGCCCTACAGGTTGCGTCGCAGGGCCCCCCGCCCACCAGTTGTGCGTTCGGCGCAGACTACCCCCCGTTCCTTGCTACTTTCATTGGCTTTGGCGGGGGAAGGGGCGTGTCCCGAGGCGCGCCGGACAGACTCGCCCAGACGACGCTTCGCGCGAGCACGGCGGCGCGCACGGGGACTCAGCCAGCGCGGGCCCGCGCGCGAAGCAAGAGCCGGGCGCGACAGGCTGAGCCGAGCCCCCGATCTCTTGCCACTGGTGCCCCCGCGGGCGCCGCTCAGGCTAGGGGAGGCAGCCCCGGGCGCACGCCGCCACGTCCGAGGGGCCGCGCCCGCCAAAAGAAATTGCTTAGGATGGCCCGACTCCGAAGACCTCCTTCGGTTACTCCCGCGCCCTGGGACCCCAAAAGCACATGGCGCTGTTCCCGCCAGCCCACTCTGCACATTGGCCCTTTGGCTTACAACAACCCAGGGCGCGTTGGCCGGGGCCGGGCCCAAGTGCCACGGCCAAACACCAATGTGCGCAGCGGCGACGGCGGGAACGCACCAGCCGACGTTGGCGCAGCCCCGGGGGCTCTGAAGCTGCCACGAGGGACCACCAACCCGCGCATTGGCGGCAGCGGCTCCGTGCTCGCGGAACGCGGGTTCGGGGGCGCCTGCGCGCGCGACGGCAAGGCGGCGCCAGCACTCGACCGACGCGGCCCAAGCCAATCCTGTGAAACCAGTGCGTCGCTGCCGCGGGCCGGCGCCGCCGCGCTGTCGTCGCGGCCGGTGCCACCCGAGCCCATGCATCCCACGTTTGCGTTGTTTTTGTTATGTTCTCCCCTAGCGGAGACGTTTGCGCTGCCAGCGGCGGGGGCGCCAGCGCGCTGCTGCAACTGCTGCGCCTGCTGCTCCGCGTACAACGTGAAGCCCCGGCGCGCCAGCCCGGCGCTGTCCTGCAGCGCTCGCGCCCCCTCGATGGGGATGCGGAAGAAGCCTGCGACGACATCGGAGGAGTCCACGTCGCGCGGCGCCGCGCATCCGTTGAGCCAGTCGTAGTCTAGCTGGGGCCCGAGAACCCTGACGCGCAGGCAAGCGATGCACTCGGCGGCGGCACGCGGCCACTGAAGGAAATCGCCCTGGCGCACCACGATGGTCGTGCACGCGCGCCCACGGTGGGCCCGCTTGAACGCCATGCAGAGCACTTGTGCCAGCCCTTCATGGTAGTGCGTGGCCTGCGCGACGATGTCCCTGCGCGGCAGCTACAAACAGCCCAGCGTGACGCTGCCGTCGCGCGCGTCCCAAGTAACCCGGACCAGCAGGCGGGCGATGGTGGGGCCGTCGGTGGCGCCGAGGCGAGCGGCTGTCTTCGCGAGCTCGGCGCGCGCGGTCCACCTTTTGGGGTTGCGGGCGGCTGCCACGGCCGCGCCCACGCCTCGGGCTCGGTCTGCAGGGAGGAAGGCAGTCACGGTGGAGTGGCGACGAGGCCGTGCATGCTGAAGAGCTGCCGCATTTCCTCCGCCTTTGCCTCCTCTCCAGGGCGGGAGAAGCAGTCGGCGGGGTTGGATTCGCTGGGGACATACTCGATCCAGACGTTGATCCGCCTAGCTGCCGCCAGCAGCCATATCCCCACGACAAGGGACCGGCTGTCGGGATCCGAGGCGGAGCTGGCCAGGATGTTCTCGAGCGCGGCCTGGTTGTCTTCGCACAGGATCAGGCTGCGGCCGCGGAGCTGCTCGGGACAGGACAGCAACAACATGAGAACGGCCAGCAGTTCGGACTGAGCGTTCCGCTGCCGTTTCCCGATACTGCGCAGCTCTTCGCGCAGGTTTGCGGGCACCACTGCTGACCAGGTCCAGCCTCCGTCGGCGGCGAGAAGCACGGCTCCCAGTGCGCCATCGCCAGTGCCCATTGCCCATGAGCCGTCTGCCCATGCGACTGCGTGCCTCGACTTGCAGTCATGGTCTTGGTAGTAGTGCAGCGGCAGAGCCAGCAGAGCGCGCCACCAGCGTAGCCCGTACCCGAGCTATTCGGTACAACCGCCTCTGTGGGAGCTGATTACGCGGGTGTAAGCGCGGCCCACGCGGCCGAAAAGAGCAGTGCTTGCGAAGCCGAATTGCCCACCCAGGCGGGACGCGTCTCTGGCGGCCAATCGCGAGAGACGTAGTGCCTCTTCCACTGCTTGCACGAGCTGGGACCGCCCCTTCCCTGTAAGCCGCAGCCCAGACCACCGCGCTGCTGCGGCCGCCTCCAAGCCCAGTATCTCGAGCCGCTGCGCGGGGGCCTGCCCCTTCTCGTTCTTGAGCGGGATGCCGAGTAGGTTGTGCAGCTGGCCAAAGATCCATTACTGCACCGCGGCGAAGCGGCGTGGCGAGGCGCGGAAGAAGTCGTCGACGTACGCCATCTGAGGGACCGCGAACAAGCGCTGGAGCGCGTGGCAAACACTCCCGCCGACGCGCGCGCACCCCCAGACAGCGCCGAGGGCGCCGAAGGGCAGGGCTATGTGGGCGAACGCGAGGAAGCCGCCTTCGGTGCCCACGTCGTCGCTCCAGACCTGTGTTACCACGTAATTGCGCTCATCTGGGCGAACGGGCCACTGGCGGCATGCCTTCTTGTGCTCCCCCTTCGCGAGAAGCGGTTCGCCGTCGCTGCCCCAATCCTGAAAAACTTCTGCCACGTGCTGGATGGTGGCCATGAGCGCGGAGAGCCCTGTGACTCGCATGGCCTCGATGGCCGTGGCTGCGGGGTTGAGGCCGCTCGCGGTGCAGCTGTCAATAGGCCGCACGTCGTAGCTGTTTGCCGCGCGGTGTTGCACCCTGGGAAACCGCTGCGTCGGAAACTATTCTGCGAAGGGCACTGTGCTGACGACCTCGCCATCGCGGCCTAGGCACCTCCCATGGGCCCTCCATCTTCCCTGCCGCAACGTACTCCTGCGTTTGGCGCAAGATGTCCTGCGTTCCTGGCTCCTGGCGCGGTTTGCTCAGGAGGTCCTTCAGCGTGCGGTCCAGGCGCTGGAGCGCGTGCTGCAGCGCATCTGCGAGGTCCCGACGATTGGGCAGGTGCCCACGGTCCGCGCTGCCGAAAAGCATGGAATCGGGCATGAGCCCCGCCATCGGGAAACCGCGCTCGATGTCGTCGCACACAGCCAGGTCTGCGTGACCAGACGCGTCCAGCATTGCCCTGTGGAGCGGGCCATTATAGTCTGGGGGCAAAACTGTTTTGACCTCAGGGGCGAGAACCGACCTCCAGTGCGCGGTTGCTGCGGCCAGCTGGTGTGCGCCCTCGGCCCAGCGCGCCACTTGCGCCGTGGCCCAGTGCTCCAGGTCTGGGCAATGCTTCATCCACTGCAGGGCACTGTGCACCCTGCTTGCTTGGCACTTGGCTCGGCGCATCCTGCAGATACGGTTTGGCGGGCTGCAACGCGGACGCGTCCCAGGCCCAGGCAATGTGCTGCGCTGGCGTGAGCGGATGCGCACGCCGAGGGCGGCGCGCCGTGGGACCGAATCTGCGCGCGCGCAGCCCGCAGCCCGCAAGTTGACCCGCGGGGGCTGGTAGTCGGGCAGCGGCGTTCCTTCAAGCTCGCCCATCCGCGAGGTAAGCTCTGGGCGCAGTGCGGCGGCGGCATGGTCAACGACGCTGATCCCGCTGGGCGTGCGACACTGCATGGGCACAGTCTTGCCTTGGTTCGGCGGGCGGGCCCTGAGCGAGGTGCGCGACCTTTCCCGACTCGGTGGGCTACAAGGGGCGCGCTGGCGTTCGCTGGCGTTGCTGGCGCGGGAGGAGCGGCCCTGCGAGGACGGCGTGGATGGCGGCAGGGGCAGCGTCCCCGAGGTCGCCGCCATTCCCGCAGAGGGCAGTGGCGCCTCGAGCGGAGGCGCTGCGCCGTCAATGAAGGAGGTTGCGCCTGGCCCGACGCGGGCACGGGCGCTGCGAGTGGGTTCGCCGCTTGGGCTGGGCTGGCTGCGCTGCCGGCTGCGGGCTGGCGGCGCGCGCGGCGAAGGCGAGGGGCGTGGTCGGCGACCAGGCACGCGCCGAGGCGGCGTGGTATTCGGGGTGCCCGAAAACCGCGTGGGCACCCAGTCCAGGTTAGGCAGATAGCCGCTCTGCGCTGCGGCGCCCTGGAGCTCCGCCGCGTCGCTTGCGGACGCTAGTCAAGTGCGGCGGAACCAGCGCTTCTTGTCGAAGGGGCACGTGCCTGTCTCCTGCACGCAGCGGCACCACTCCCCCCGTGCCCCTGCCTTCACGTGCTCGCAATTGCCAATGGCGTTGCCCTTGCCGCTGGGCTCCCCCTTGCAGGCCGCCTTGCCCATGCTGCCGTGTGGGTCTGGGAACGCGGTCTCCGCGGCCTGCTGCTTCTTCGCCATCCTCTGCGCCTTGGATAAGCGCCTGCGCTTCTGCGGTGGGCCGCCCGCGTCCTCGGTGGCGCAGAAGTGCGCATTGTCGCGGATCGCAAGGAAGTTTTGCTGCGCGGCCTGGAGGCTTTCGGTGGACCCGAGCGCTGGCGCGCTGGGCTGCGCAGCGAGCCGAGGTGCCAAGGCGAGCGCCACGTCGAGCTCGCCGTTGTCAGGTGGCATGGTTTCGAGGATGGCGGCATCGAGCTTGTCGCTGTCCTGGGCTGCCTTGCGCCATTGGCCCTGGCAAACCACGCAGGCCTCGCGGTACTCCGCGACAGCGAGGTTGCGGCACCCTGGCCGCGGCACACGGTTCTTCCGAACCTTGGCCCAGAACCGCTGGTGAGAGACTTCCAAGGCCTTTACATCGGTGACCCAGCCGACCAGAAAGATCAGGTTTTCCACCAGGCACGCCCAGGTCTCAAGCTCCTCGAGGGAGTCCGGCGGCGCTGGCGGTGCCGCGCCGCTCCCCAATCTCCTCAAACCGGACCTTGTCTGCGAGGAGCGGTACGTTTTCTTTCTGCACGCGGCGCGGGCGCTCGCGGCAGCCCCAGAGGCGGGCGCCGGGCAAGCGAGCGCCCTCGACCTCGTGCTGTCGAGCGGCGAACAAGGCCTCGATGCGGCGCTTGCGGTAGGCAGGGCCCAGATCGCAGTACTCCTCAGCCCTGGGTTGGTGACCACCCCGTGCGCGCACTCGACGGTGACCTTACCTTGTTCGGCCCCGCGCGGCCCTCCTCGACCAGGGCGGCGATGTGGACGTAGACCCTCCGCTTGCTTATGCCGCTCGTGGCCGTGAGGTGCCCGTGCGGGCGCGGCCCTGGCCCCGGAGGCGGACGCGGCGCTGGCCGCGGCGCTGGAGGGCGCCCTTGCACGGCGGGCACCGCGGGCGCCAGCTGCGGGCTTGCAGCCGCAGGCAGCGCCACCCACTGCAGCCCTGGCACGCCGTCTGGAAGGAAGGAATTGGTTATCCGCGATGGCTCCGAGGAGCTGCGCGAGCTTCTGCACATGGACTGAGGGCTCTGATGCATAGTAAGCTCTGACGAGCCTAGCGACCCCCGCGCTACGGTGGCGCCCAAGAATGGCGAGCTCCGGTTCGCTGAAGCGGCCGCTGGTGCCCGCCCACGTGAGCACCCTCCGCTTGGCCGCGCGCAGGGCGACGGTCGCCGCCGCCTCGCGCGACAGTCCCGCCACGCGCAGGGCGTAGCGGATCTGCGAGAGCCACTCGTCTGCCGACGCTGCGCCGGGCGGTGACTCGCCTGCCCAGACCGCCCACGGGGATGGCACCGCGTATTCTGAATCACTGAGTCCGAGCTTCTGCAGATCGTCGCGGAACCGCCTGGCCAACCTCGAAGGGGTCGGCGACGCTCCTCTGGCCGGCACCGCCCACGGCATGGGCGACTCGATGCGGAGGCTCGCGGCCTCGGTCGCTTTGGTTTTATCGCAAACCCCGTACAGTAATCCCCCTGCGGGGAACTCCCAAGCAATTGACCACCGCGCTGGCTGGCCCCAGATAGAATCGCCTTTCCTGAGCGCGCCAAATAATTTACGCAGTTCGCTGCAAAGCGTGATCCGGAGAAGGAGGTCCTTACTGGCGTTGATGGCAGCCTTTTGTTGTCGCACTTCGCCGACGGTATACACCGGCGGTCGCGCCTGTGCGCTGCCGCCGCAGCGGTCACTGTGACGCGGTCCCACTGGGCACGCCGTTTCCAGACCAGCGATGGCGGCGCAGAAAGTCACCGATGCCAGTCGCGACCTCGGCACGGTTGGCGCAGCGCCTGCCTCCCGGAGGTGATGGATGTAGCCCACGAGTTTCAGGGTGGCCGCATCTATCGGGCGCGACGTCGTCAGGAACGCGATGATCCCTGGACCAGGCCAAGAACTCCCCCGCGCTGCGCGCGTGGATCAGCAACGCGCGATGGGAACACCTAGGCAGCATCGTCTCTAGGTGCGCGGAGCCTTTGCCAGCTCCAAGCTCGGCGAGCAGGCAGAACCCGCGGCCTGTCTCCCCTTCCAAGAGCCCAGTCCAGAGCGCCACGGCCATCACGACCCCCTGGTTCCTGACGCCAGTCCACCGGCGCGCCTCGGGCCTTGCGCCGAGCGCCTGGCGGCCCCGGCCTTTGCCAGCGCGCCGACAGCTTTGCCAGCGCGCCGACAGCTGGTGGCCGAGGGCCGCGCGCTCGGAGCCAGTCGCGAGCGGCCCTGGCCTGCGCGGGCAAACGGGCGCCCGGCAGCTGGGGAGCGCGCGCTCAGGGCCAGGCCGGCTGGCTGGCTGCTTGCGGGAGCTGCGCCTGAGCCTGCGGCGCCACCTGGCGCGAGGGGCCAAGCGGGCGCGGAGCGCGCCCAGCGCCGCTCCGCGGCGGGCGCGGCCTTCACGTGGCCCCACGCGGGCGCCCTCTCCTTTCTCCGAGGCGCCTCCTCGACACGCGCGGCGACCTGTCTCGGAGCACTTCCAGCCTCCGGGCTTCCATGCGCCGCGCGGCGGAATGGTCCGCCCATGGAAAGACATCCGCAGCCCCCGCTGTCTTGCCCCCACGGCCACAGAGAGGCAGCAGGACCAAGGCACACCGGCCGAGAACAACATTCCAAGGGCAAGACCCCCCCCCAAGGGGCACGCGGTGCGCGCTTGAACCAAAAAGGCCACGGCGAAGGCCACGCCCCCCCCCCCCCCCCGACGCTCGACCCCGTCAGCCCCGCAGGCCCGCGCCCGGCCCGACCCAATGCCGGGACAAGCGAAACTGGGCGCCCAAGGCGCCCACGGGGCACCCCAAGCGCCCTTCGGGCGCCCGAGGCGCCCAGGAGGCACCGAAGACGCCCTGCCCCGACGCCCAAGACACACAGATAAGGAACCACGGGCGCCGAAGGCAACCCAGACACCCACGCGACTTCCGCGGCACACCCCATTCGCCCCAAAACAACAGCCACAACCAATGATAACCCACTGAGACAACGAGAGACGCGCCCATCAGACAACCCAAGGACCCACGGCACCAAGACACACCCACGGCAGAATACACCCCAAACACCTACGGCACCCAAAGCACCCATACGATACCTGAGGCACCACAATGACAGCCCAGACATCCGCGACACCCAATACAACCACGCGGCACACATCAGACAACCGAAGCACACATCAAACACAAAATGCACACACTGCACCTAAGACATCCACCCGACGACCCAGGCACCCAAAAACCCGAAGGCACCTCAGACGCCGAGCCCACGACCCCCCATGACACCCCAGACACACATCTGACAACATACGACACATAGCTAAGACAACCGCGAAACACCCAGGACGCCCCAGACAACCCACCGGATGGCAGGTAGCGGGAGGAGCGGGCCAACGAGGGCCCGCGGGCGGGCAGGGAGACGATGGGGAGTTGGCGAGGGAGAGGCGTCTAGGATATCAGACAGCCGGCGAGGGCCCACGGTTGCCGCGCCTGGTTCCACGTTGCGTCTCCACCTCCGCCGCGAGTAAAAGACGCACTCTCCTCGTGCACGCTGCCGAGCGCCCCGGCGGCGCAAGCTGCCGCCGCTGCCGCTCCCCCCCCCCGGCCCCCACCTGAGCCCCCCCCTCCCCAAGGCCTCCCCCCCCTCCTCGCTCTGCCCCTTCATCCCCCCCCCTTGAAATTTACTACATCACCTACCTGGTAGCGCTGGATCAGCGCCCGCCCCAGCAGCCGCCCTCGGCAGCTGGCCGACCTGCAACTCCTCTTGGCAGCTGGCCGCCCTGCAGTGCTGCCCTCGACAACTGCCCGCCCTGCACCGCGGTGCTCTGGCCGCCCTGCAGCGCCCCCGGCAGCCGGCCCGCGAGTTGAAGGCTTCCGAAGACCAGGCCTCGAGCGTCGCCACGAACGTCGCGCGCGCGCCCTTCTCCCTGAAGAACTTCGCATCGCGCCGCTCGTCGCGAACTGCAGCGAAGAGTCCTTGATGGCGTTAGGACCCACTTGCGTCCTCGATGGCCTGGACCACGCGCGCCTCGAACACGGCGGCCGGCGCGCGCCCCGCGATCTCCGTCGGCGCCTCTCCGGGCTCAACGAGCTCGAGCATCTTGCCGCGCCCGGCGCCCACCTCCCTCAGAGATGGGACCTTCTCCAGCAGGCTACTCTCCAGCGAGCGCGCCTTGGCAGCGACGCCCTGCTGCTTGACCAGCGTGGCCTTGAAGCAGTCCACGACCTTCTCCCAAGCGCTAACGTCGCAACCGTTCGCCCAGCGCCCCCCGCCGCCATTCGGCACGCCGCCGCCCGGATTGCCCAGCTCTGTCATGCCGG